CCCCCCCAGTCCCAGGCTTCCACTTAGCAATCGCATGTTCCCCTCACCGCTATCACATCCAGTCAAAGCACTGCTTCACTATGGTCTCGGGGTCCTGGGAACTGGGGGTGTCGGGTTAACTCAGCCTGCACTTCACAAACGAATTCAAGACATGCCCACGTGAACATTCTCCTCGCTACGCTTTCCTGAGAGAGCATTGTAACCTAACCTAACCTAACCTAACCTGAGAGAGCACAGTCTGGTCTGCTGCTGAACACTACTGCAAAACTGCTTCCCTGAAGCTTGGGCAGGCGAGAGGGGCCGAGCCCCCCCGCCTTCGACGTTCGCCAGGTCCAGGCTCTGCTTCAACAAGAAAATTCTGACGTAAAATAAATTTATTTTTTTTCTCATGACAGGGACATCCACCTTGTAGAAGTAAATCTTTGCCCCGACATCAACCCATTCATCAACGCAGCAGATCAACATTCTCACACTGTGACCAGACTTAAATGGCGCAGCTCAAGAAATCCAAACATAATAACAAAGTGACTCTACATATCATCTTAATTGGTGTGGCTGGCACTGTATACAATGAATAAACAATCAAACCTCTTATGAATCTAGGCCTCACCAAGCGCAAAGCTGAATCAGTAGCAAAACAGCCTAGTTGCCATGCCCTCCAGAAATTGACATCCATCATTAATATCAGACATGCTCTAAATTTCCAGGGGGCTTTTGGGGGGGGGGATGCTGATCGCGCGGAGCACAGCAGGAGAAGGAGAGTCAGGGCGTCCAGGAGCATGGCGAAACGCCCCCAAGATCCTTAGTAGCTCTGCTTTTTGCTCTCACCTTAATCTGGGGAGCGTTTCCACTGCCTGCATAATTCTTTTCTTTTTTTCCTTTCTGGCTCTCAACCAGGCTAGTTTTATCTTGTGTAGGCTTTGAGGGCCTTCTGGTAAGGCCCCTGCCAGCCCACTAGTTAAGGGGCCTTCCCTTAATACACACAGCTTCTGGCCTGTGAAGACCTTCTTTTCGTTTTGTTGACTGTACAAACATGTTGTATTCACCTGAGTCGAATTCTGTGAAGGTACAAGTCTTGGTGCTCAACAAAAAGCCTTACAAGGCAAAGTGCAAAATGAAAAAAAAAAAAAAGGAAATCTGCACACTATACTGCCTAGTAGGCAGATAAGCCGACCCTACATCAATCAAGGAAAAGGAGGCACATTGGCTCAAAAATAGCCGTGAGCCCATTTCACTACAAGGTATAAGAGAGAGAAAGCATGAAAGAGATAGCTAATGTGGATC